GATAGGGCTTCGTGTTTTTTAAAACAACGCTGTAGCAACCAGAACAAGCATAAAGGAATGACTTGGCATAGATGCATTGTCCATGATCTGCAATTTATTTATTTATGCTTTAAATGACAGGAATCTCTTTTCACTTGGGAAGGGGTGTTCCAGTATTGACGTGCCCCCCTGTGGTTTGAAATGGACTGTCCTGGGATCTCAAGATTCTGGCGCCATTTTTCTCTGGCGTGGCTCATGGGCTACGTCCCGGCCGGCTGAACTCAACAAGCCACCCCCTTTAAGGTCTTCCAGTAAATCGAGATACCCAAGATGGCTTTTTGCAATCCAGTGCCACTCAATGATTTTGAGAGCTGGGCATGATAGGGGTTGTAATCCACTCTACGGAATGCAACCGGTAGAAAAAGGTCCTGCTAAAAATGATACGACAGTGACAAAAGGACCTCTCCTCTGCGATGCTTCAGAAACCAGGGTGGAGAGCTTCTTGCCCACTTCATCACAAACCATCTATGTTCTAGCCTTGCCTTCCCCTAAGAAGCTCACTCCAGCTGTGATGGAAACCTGACCTAGCATGCCAGTCTTTGAGGCCCACATAGAGAAAACAAATCATAAGAACATCAGAAGAGCCCTGCTGGATCAGGCCAAGGGCTCCTCTAGACCAGCTCCCTGTACAGTGGTGCCTTCACTTACGAATGCCCTGACGTACGAACATTTCGACTTACGAACAGCTCTGGTCGCAAAATTTCACTTCAACTTGCGAACAGAGCTTTGACTTAATGAACAAAAAAAAAAAATGCGGGGAAAGCAGGAAATGGACTTTGGATTGCCTGGCACTGTAATTTTAAAATGTGAAAAATGGTTTAAAAGGTGCTTGGTTTGGTTTAAAGCTCCTTGGTTTTAAAGGTGTTCTCTTTAAAAGGTGTTTGTTCCCTCCCTCCCTCCTTTCCTGCCCTTTTTAAAACCCTAAATCATTTTAGGTTTTTAAGTTTCTCCCCCTAGTGGTAGAGGACGGACTAAATCATTTTAGGTTTTTAAAAAAGTTTCTCCCCCTAGTGGTAGAGGACGGATTAACCAGTTTTGCATTAGTTCCTATGGGAACTAATGCTTTGACTTACAAACGGCGCCTCTACATACGAACAAAAAAACAGCCAAAACGGATTGTAATCGGTTTTCAGTGCATCCCTATGGGAAATGTTGATTTGACTTACGGACTTTTCGACTTACGAACATCTTCTGGGAGGGATTAAGTTCGTAAGTCAAGGCACCACTGTATCTCACGGTGGCTCCACCAGATGCCATGGTGATCCCACCAGATATAATTGTCTCCGGATCCCCCCTTCCCCTGCATTTGGAGGTCCCTTCCTTCTAAGGCTGGAGATGATACATCCCCATCATGGCTTGTAACCCGCAATAGACTTTTCCTCCAGGAATCTGTCCAATCCCGTTTTCAAGGCATCTTGGCCAGGTGCCATCATGCTTTTAAGGCAGTTGGGTACCCCCAACCACAAAACAAAGACACACATTTATATGGATTATTGTAATTCTGCTCTTCTATAAATATCTAAGGCTGGATAGCTCTGTGGCTTAGGTATCTGGCAGCAGACCCAGAGGCTGGGAGTTCAATTCCCCACTGGGCCTCTTGCGAAGTGCAGTCAGCCTGGGTGACCTTGGGCCAGCTGCACCGTCCCAGGGTAGATGCAAAAGAAGGGGATGGTAAACTACTTCTGAGTATTTTCTGCCTGGAAAATCTTGAAAAGAGTCACTCTAAGTCAAAATTGACTTGAAGGCACATTATTATATTATTATTATTATAAAACTCTTAACAGCCAGTGCTCACACCCTGAATGCTGAAGCCAAGTAAGAATTTTATAGCCATCAGAACTGCCCCCACCCCCCAGCCAGGATCATTTAACATCCCAACTTAGCCACTGGCTCTTTTTTTTTTTTAATTCCCCTGTCCCCCTTTTGGATCTTTAAAAACGCAGGGAAAGGACTGCCATTTCAGCTGAATAATAATAATAATATTAATATTATTTTCCTGATAAAGAAAAAAAAGGCATTTCAGTTTTTGGTCTGGAAGGAGTCAGCTGCGCCCCTATCTCATGGCTGGAGAATGTTCTCTTAATTGTAATTGACACACAAATTATGCAACTGATCTGTGTGAATGCGAAGCTGCCAAGGAACGCAACATTTCAGTGCAGCCCAGACTGGCGTCAATACAGATGCAATCACATAGAGTGAAATATATTAAGCCTTAATTGCTTAATGCAATGGGTCTCTGGGGAAGGCCGGATTAGTTTACGTGGTGGGGAGGGAGAGGGGGAAGAGTGAAAGAAAGAAAGAAAGAAAGGAAAAGCAGAGGAGAAAACTGACTTTGAATAAGCCAATTGTCAAAAAAAAAAAATAAGACTTTTTGTTCACTTTGCCTCATTAGCTGTCAGACACTGCCGAGGGAAAGGGGACTATAAAAATAAAATTTAAAAAAATCTTAGACGTGGGGGGTTGTAGCCGGGAAGAGTCTGGAAAATGGCAAAGTCACGTAGGCAGGCTGGTAAAACAAACCATGGAACATTTAGAGAGAAGTGGAGTGGGGGGAGATGAGATCCTTCTGTAGGCTAAAGACAGGTTTCCGTTTCATATTTATTTATTGCTGCTTCTGATAAGATAAAGGCCAGTGAAATCAGCCAGAAATTCTGTACTCTCACAGAAATCCCCACTCAAACCAGAGGGAGCTTTGCAAGAGGGCGTGTAAGTTTTCTAGTAGCTGACACCGCGCAAATCCCATTAAAAGAAACAGCAAAATCTCTGCTTGCAGGGTTTCAACGGATTGAGCTGTAGTTATAAAATGCTGGGCACATTCAACATTGGATACAACCTGATCAGGTGTGGAGTTACACATTGAATGCCTCCAAAGATTTTTTTAAAAAATCCCTGCATTTAGATAAATAGCACCTGGTAAGATTCATCCTGATGTACTAGTCCTCTACATGCAGGTATAAGTCGCTGTAGTTTTAAGCCACACAAGGAAGCATTCAGTCTCCTAGTTGCCATTTGACAGGATTGTACCACAAAGCTTTTCCCAAACATGACGGAGCAGTTCTCTGAAATGTTGGAAGGCATTTGTTTCAAAGAACTGAATTTCTGGGAAGCTAAGACTGAACGGCATGCACATGGAAAAGTGCATGAATAGCTTCTCCCATTAATGAGCTAGGAATCTAAGCATTATAATTAATTCAGCTCTGCAGGCATTTCCTTCTGTTGGCAGACTTTTCTTACAAGAATGGCTTGTAACAGGCCTTCTCCTCAAGAAGTACCTATGTGCCTAGTTCACCCTGAGAAAACCTTGGCAGGAGCTGTGTGCGGGCGCACAGAGGAGCCCACCATGGTACGGCTGTGGAGCCAGAAAGGTTAGAGAAGGCTGGAGCCAGAATAAGGCCTACATCTTGGCTCCCACTGAAGTCGGAGGAGCGAAGTCACAAAAAATAACTTGTGTTCATTTCAGTGGTGACATGTCGGCAAAGTGGCCTGGATCCAACCCATTGACTTCACAGCCCGTGTTTAACAGATTCACGAGAACACAAGTTCAATATTTCTGTGTGTTTCTCAAAGTGGCTTCTCCCTTAAAACAAAAGGAAGAAGATGTAGGGATTTCATGAGTTTTACCAAGCCAGTGGTTTGCTGTTCAAGCTTGGTGTGGCCACCATGTTGGCCAACAGGTTAGTTTTGCCAGATCTTTTTACGAACCACACGGCCCCAAAAAGAACTGCATTGCCAACATCTGCTCTCTCTCTTTTTGTTTCCTTCTGGACACTCGGTCCTGCAGTGGGTCCATCCATGGTTCAAGCTCTTATCAAGACTCCTATGTTTACCTTTCTGAGATTTGACACCCTGACATGGCAATCTCAAGAAAAGATATGGAGGAAGCAGATAGAGTGGAGGGAGAGGAATTTACACCACGTGAAGATGAGACTTTAGGTAAATCTACTCAATTTGGTTTCTATAGGCTATTTTTTTAAAAAACACAGTACATTGGTTAAAATTATCTCCAGCTTCTACTGTAGGAAATCTGTCTTTCTACTTGTTTTCCACCCTCCAGAGGAGCCCATGTGTTTTGCCTAAGGATGAAGACAGAACAGATGGATCATTTACTGTATTTTTTGCTCCATAAGATGCAATTTTCTCCCCCAAAATGTGTGTGTGGGGGAGTCTATGCGTCTTATGGAGCAAAGGAAGCAATTTTGTCCCTGCTGGCCCCGTGGGGAGGAGTGTCACAAGGGTCAGGGTGAGCCTTCCAGGACCCTTGCGACACTCCCACCACCACCCATGGGGCCAGAGAGGGCGAAATTGCCAGCTTCCGGGGGGGGGAGCGTTGCAAGGGTCCGGGAAGGCTCACTCAGACCCTTGTAACGCTCCCCCCTCCCCCGCACGGGGCCAGCGCTGGCGAAATTGCCAGCTTCTGGGATTCTTCTGAAGTTTGGGAAGCTTCAGAAGACTCTCAGAAACTGGCGATTTCACCCCCTGGCCCCGTGGGGGTGGGGGGAGCGTCGCAAGGGTCTGAGTGAGCCTTCCAGGACTCTTACTACACT